ATATGCAGCTGTAACCAGAGCCCAGAGATGCTCTTGAAGGCTTGCCCAGCCCTCATTATGACATTTAGCCTGTGATTGATATCGCGTGTGTCACCGAGACCTTGGCAGCTAATCTTGGGGTGGGATCTATGGAAACCAAACAGAACAGATCTGTCTTCCCTGCCATTTTGGCTGTGATCTGGGAAACAGACTCTCTTGGCCTCCGCGAATAAGGTATCTGGGAGGCTCGCAGCGAGGGATGTACACAGCCGCCGCAGGATTTGGAAAGCTTACAGGTCTGCGGTTTCTGGACGGCTCCTCGCTTTGTTCTCTTCCCCACCCAGCGGCGCTGGAGGATAATGGATCCCAGAGCCCCTCTGCGTGCCAAGCTGCTCAGGGTGGACCGCCGCTTCCGCTTCTGTCTGGAAATGCAGCCGGCCTTTCAGCCCAGGGGTGGGGGTGGGAGGGTTCTTTGCAGTCTGACGAAGGCACAGTCCCGCCCAGGGGGAGGTCAGCCTGGTGAGCAAGGGGGGCGGGCAGATGGAGGCCCAGATGCAGGGGTCTTTGCGTCGCCCTCAAATTACCTCTTCTGAAGCGTCCTCTAGAGGCAGGCAGGTCCCAAAGCACGGAAACCACCACGTTTCAGCACATGCGCCCAGCTTCGCATTCAAACCAAGAGTGGGTGACTGGTACCAGCTGAACTTCAGGTGCAGCAGAATCGGGGTCCTTGGGGGCTGAGCACAAGGAAAGCTGCCACAGTGTGCTTAGCAGACCAGGAGTCTGTACTGGCTCCTGCTGGAGTAACCTAGGCCACCCCTTGGGATGATTCCCCCTCCTGCCAGGCCCTGGGGTCCAGGTTGGGCCTTGATAGGAGGAGCACTGGGCCAGCTTGCTCCCTGCAGCCCTGCTTCAGCAGCCCTGGTTGAGTTCCTGCAAGGCCCCCCAGCCTTTATCACTCCCTACTCATTCATTTATTCATTCTTTTCTGCCTCAGTCCATCCATTCATGAGGCCATTTCCCCATTCAACAAACACGTCTCAGCCAGGCATGGCGGCACACACCTACAACCCCAGCACTTGGGAGGCTGAGGCAGGAGGACTGATACAAGTTTGAGGTCAGCCTGGGCTACACTGTGAGTTCAAGGTCAGTCTGACATAGCAAGACCCTGTTTCAAAAAGCAGAAACAAACACACACAAAAACCAAGCAGACGTTTCCCCAGCATGTCCTGGGTTCTAGATGCTGTGGTTACAGAGCTTACTGCTGGGCCTTCCTTCTCTCCTCCCCGCATCCAGGGCGAGCTCTGGCTCCATCTCAAAGAGCAGATGGAAAGTCCCTCACTACCCTTCTCTTCTCAGAAGCTCCCTTACTCTTTGGCCACATCTCGGGCAAACACTTTGTGAGTGTCAGACACGCTTGTTAAAACAAACTTCTAGGCTTCCATCTCTGGTCCAGGAACCTCCACTTTTTGTGAGTGCTGGATGACGTTGATGAACATGGCCTTTAGGCCACACTTCGAGAGGCCCCACAGAAGGGTCCCCTCTGCCATGCAAGGTCTATGCGCACGCGTGTGTGTGTGTGTGTGTGTGTGTGCGCGCACACACACACACACACACACACACACACACACCCCGCCCCAGAGGCAGGCAGCCAGGAGGAAGCCACAAATCCTGGCTTCCTGTGATCACCACCAACAAGCAGCGCCCGCCAGGAATCCCTTAACTCATCAATATGGACTTGGTAGAATCAATGCTGAGTTTCAGCCCTTTCTATTTCGTTCCCAATTTTTATTACTCTTAAAGAGATAAGGGCTCGCTATATTGCCTAAACTGACCCTGAACTCCTGGGTTCAAGTGATCCTCTCGCCTCAGCCTCCTAAATAGCTGGGCCAGCAGGAGTGTGTCACTGTACACAGCATCTTTTCTTGAATACAGAGAATTCCAAGCGTACACAAAGCGGAACAGTAGCTACCTGTGACCACCGCTCGACCTCAGCCGTCACTGCCCCAGCCAGTCCTGGTCACACGGCGCATCAACACCCGCCCTCCAGCTCTAACTGTTCTACTGCTTCTGGTCATGTTGCTCTGACACAAATCCAAGACACTGTAACAGATTCTCTGCATTTCTGCACCCATTTCTAAAAGATAAGGCCCCGTGGCATAATTCCTCTATCTTTACAGACTCCTGTCACACCATGGCCCCGAGCACTCTGCTAAAGCAAAACCACTCTCACTGGTGGTGTGTTCTTCTAGCAGAAGGCAAATAATGTCTGATTGTTGTTCTCCTTTTTCTTTTTTTTTTTTTCTTTTCAAAGTTTTATTGATAAACATATAGCAATGAGACAGTTTCAAATCAAATCGAAAGTACAGTTTCAACAAATAATACACTGCATATATTCTTCTTAGTGGTTCCTTTTTCTTTTTGAGACAAGGTCTCACTGTGTAGTTCAGGCTGGCCTTGAACGTGTGACAATCCTGCTGCCCCTCCCCCAGATTATAGGCGAGCACCAGCATGCCCAGCTTTGCCTCTTTTTTTCCTATGTTCTTAGCAGTCAGCTCTGAGTGCCTGGATCCAGTCCCTCAAGGATGTTGTAAAATGGTTCATCCTCTCTTATTATCTGGACTACTTCATCAAAAACAAAATTTCCCTCATCTATGCCGTAGTATAGTTTGTTTCTGAAAGGAATAATACAGGGTAGATTCTGTTTATCCAGCTTCAAAATAAGGAGCTGCTGTTGGGCTAGGGAGATGGCTCAGTGGAATAAGCACTTGCCTGGCAAGCGCAAGGGCCTGAGTTCAATACCCAGTTCCACAAAAAAAAAAAAAAAAAAAAAGGAGCTGCTTCCTTAGCGCCCTCCAATAGCGTATAATTAAGTCCCTTACCGGTTCAGTGTGTAATGTATTTCAATTCACTGGAGTTATTTTCATAATGCATGTTCAAATGGTCTGTTTTAGATCACTGGGGGCCTTTTCAAGCAGGGTTCCACGTGGTCTTTGATTCGAGGGGTCTCTGGAGCTCCCAGCCCTTCTCCTTTCCTGAGAGTGCTGTCTGCTGCTCACACTGCGTTCTCCGCTCTGCTCCCTCTCTGCAGGTGAGGGCTGCGTGCTAGGAGCACCTTCACTGTGCAATTCACCTCTTATGTAAGACGGGGATAACAGCACTGCCTACCTCACAGATCTGTTGCTTTTTTTTTTTTTTTTTTTTTGACACAGAGTCTCACTATGCAATTTGGGCTGGCCTTGTGCTCACTTTTGTAGTCCCCAGGCTGGTCTCAAACTCACAGAGATCCTCCTGCAGTGCACCACCATTCCCGGCCCGCATCTGGGGCTGAGATGGCATACCTGGGCATCCAGGGACGAGACCACATGGCATGTGGGGCTAGGGATCGAACTCGGGTCCTTGTGCTTGCCAGATAGGTGCTGATGCCTCTGAGCTATCTCTCCGGCCCCAGTTCAAGGCATTTATAATCGTGAAGAACTTGGAACAAAATGGTGCCTGCATAAAGTATATTATTTAAGGATAGTCCTCCCTCAGTGTGCAGGGGATGGGCTGCAAGGGCATCCAGACAGCCTGACGGAGAAGGCTGTGGGATTCGCATTAACCTATGCATATACTCCTATGTACTTGAAACCAAGCCCAGAGTCCCTATCAACTAGTGCAAGGTGTATGCGGTGTGAATAGTCATACACTGTATTGTTTAGGAACTAGGTCAAGGAAAAAAGTGTATGCATGGTCAGAACAGGAGTAGCTTTTCTTTTGCACCAGTTTTTTGTTTGTTTGTTTGTTTGTTTGTTTGTTTGTTTTTGTGGTACCACAAACATGATCTGAGTTCTTCATCATTATAAATGCCTTGAACTGGGGCCGGAGAGATAGCTCAGAGGCATCAGCACCTACCTGGCAAGCACAAGGACCCGAGTTCGATCCCTAGCCCCACGTGCCATGTGGTCTCGTCCCTGGATGCCCAGGTATGCCATCTCAGCCCCGGATGCGGGCCAGGCATGGTGGTACACGCCTGTAATCCCAGCATGCTAGTAGATTATTCTACTGAGCTATCTCCCTGGCCCTTGGACCAGTTTTGATCCTCAGGTGGACTCCATTCATTTGGAAGAAGCACAAGTGGCACACTGGCTGTGTCTATCAGAGAAACAGCACTCCTACCCCAGCACGTTCCCATCTCCCGCCCTCTCCAGCTCTCCAGTCTCAACACCAAGTCAGCTCCACTCACTCGCTAGGCTGTGGGACTGGAGCTACCATGTGTCAGCTCTGGGAACACATGCTGCCCTACCCAACCTGAACCCATTTTCTTGGAGACAACAGGAACTTCTATGCATTCCACCTGCTGGGCCCACATCGCTTTCCCACTTAGTATCCCATGCCAATGTACAAACACCACTTCTCCTCACTGAGCAACTAGGGCAGCAATGACCAGCCTCCTAGTGTGACACTTGCAAACATGGATGGCCCCAACTGTCCCAACCAGCTGGCCAACTCCCACACAGCCAGCTCTCCCTGTGCCCAGGCAATGCTTGTCTCAAAATAAAAAGTGTAATAGAGCACTTAGCTAGCATGTGCCCTGCCTCTATGTGTGGCAGGGGAGACCCTGGCCTGGGCCCCTCTGGACACAGCCACCACCTTTCCATCTGCTGACAGCTTTCTGCGGGTGCCAAGTGGGCCACAGGTTTGCAGTGTCAGGGCCCTCCTAGGCCTTGCGATTGGGTTCAGGATGGTCTAAGCTAGCAGGATCCAGTCAGTGAAGGAAAAAGTAGGTATGAAAGAAGGGGCAAACTCTAAAAGAAAGGTGAGAAAGGACTGGATGCTTGGGCTCAAATCTCATGTATATCTGCTTTGTGGGAATTCACCTCCATCCCCAGTGCTCCTGGCTCTGGAAACACTGGAATGTTGGGGAGGTCGTTTAACTGCCACCGTGATCGCCTCCAACATGTGCCTGGAGGAGCATGCAAGCACACGGAAGGCTGGGCCTGAGCGGTCACTTTCAGCTTGGCTTCTTCCCACTGTCCCTGCAGCACCCTCCCAACCCTAGCATCCCCATTAACCCGCTCCTGACCCTCTCTCATGACCAGCTGAAGAAAGGACAGCAAATCCCTTGGCCCCAAAATGACATCTGGAGACTCAAAGACAAGCCTCAAGAATGCCTACCCGCCTGCCAAGGGACCGTCCCTGCGGGCACAGGAGGTGGAGGCCGAGGACTACTGCACACCCGGCGCCTTCGAACTAGAGCGGCTCTTCTGGAAGGGGAGCCCCCAGTACACCCACGTCAACGAGGTCTGGCCCCGGCTCCACATCGGCGATGAGTAAGTGCCCAGGGGAGGCAGCAGCCCATTCCCTGCTGGCTCACCCCTTGTCCTGGCCATCATCTCTGGCTTTGGATTAGTTGTGCTGTGCCAACACTGTGTGGGTGCATCTTCATTGTACAGAAAAGCCAGGATGGAGGTTTATTTCTGTCTTGCGTAGGCATCCAGAGAAGGGCTGGCTGCAAGGCGGCTGGCTGCAGGGTGCTAGACTGCTGATGGGGGGGGGGCGACCAACAACTGTGGGGTCCAATCAGCAGAACCAGGAGAGAAGGAAGACAAAAAGGACAATTTTCCAAAAGGAGGTCCTACCCAAGACTTCCCCTGTCCCTAGCTGCAAGGGAGGCTGGGAATTGTAGTTTTCTATTTTAGGTGAGTGTAACAGCAGCAGGAGTCAAATCAATTGTCAGATTGATGGCATAGGCCATGCAGACAAATCAGGCTAAGCGGCGGTCACCATTCCCTTTCCTAGGTCTTACAGTCACCATTCCCTACTCTACAAAAAACTGAGAAATGCCTACTATAGAACCTACTACTACAAATGGCTATCATTCCAGGACAGGCTACCCAGGCACTGTGCTAGGCACCTCACACATGTGGTCTCATTTCACCTTAAGGATAACCCAATGAAAGAGATTATCCAAGGAACCTGAGGCAGAGAGCAGCCTAGTAAGCATCCCTCAGGCCCCACAGCTTGGCAATGGAGTTAGAGTTCACGTACAGCACTACCCAGCCCAGAGGCTCAGTCATAAGCGCCACTCCCAACTCCTTCCTCAGTCCTCCAGAACTTGAGCTCATGTTCCATCTCTTCATGGAGCAGATGGACAGAGGCCCTGCCTCTGGGATCTTAGTACACATCTTGGTGCTTTAAAAACTAGAAATAATTAGCCGGAAGTGGTAGAACACACCTGTAATTCCAGCAGTCAGGAGGATGAAGCAGGAGGATCACAGTGAGTTCCAGGCCAACCTGGGTGATATAGTGAGTTCAAGGCTAGCCTGAACTACATAGTGAGACCCTGTCTCAGCAAACAAATCTACTTGAAATAACTATCTAGCCAGGAGAATCACCCAAGGAAGAATCCTTTATTCTTTCCTTTTCCTCTCTCTCTTTTTTTTTTTCTCAAATAAATGTAAGGAGCTATACAAATTACACAATCATGTAAATCCCAGCTACAGGGAGGAGGGTCTCAAATTCAAGGCCAACCTGGGCAACACAGCAAGGCTTGTCTCAAAATAAAAAGTGTAATAGAGCACTTAGCTAGCATGTACATGGCCCTAGATTTAACCCTTCAGATCAAAAGTCACATTTTTAAAAAATACTAACATAAATTAAATAAGAGGCCACAAAAAATTGCACAATCCCCTCTTAATTCTACCACTAACCACTATTAAATTCACTAGCATTTTGCTACTCTTGCATATGTGCTATTGCAAACACAAGGAAACATACGAAGGGCTTTCATTTTTTTATTTGTTTATTTATTTATTTATTTATTTATTTAGTGTGTGTGTGTGGCCAGCTCAGCCCACCAGGGGGCGGGGCTGGCTGGCATGTGGTGCTGGGGGATTGAACCGCAGTCCCTGTGCTTTGCTTAGCTTAGCTTGTTCTAAGTAGGTGCTTTAGACCACTGAGCCATCTCACCAGCCCGAGCTTTCATTTCTTCTACACAATATTTTTCAAAAAGGAACAACACCACACAGACTGTTCTGGACCTGTGTGTGTGTGTGTGTGTGTGTGTGGCCAGCTCAGCCTGTCCTGGGGACGGGGGAGGCGAATCACCTTTTTTTTTTTTTGTTTGTTTGTTTTGTTTTTGGCGGAACCGGGGATTGAAGTCAGGCCCTTGCACTTGCCAGGGAAGTGCTCATTCCACTGAGCCATCTCCCCGGCCCCCGGGAATCACCCTTTGCCTAGGCTTGCCTAAGCAGGCACTTTAGAACACTGAGCTATCTCGCCGGCCCTGTTCTGGACTTTGAATATTCTATAACATGACTGTTTACCCAATCATTTTCCAGTTGAGAACATTTCAGGTCTTACATGAGGTGTAGAGAAATTCAGTTTCCTCTTTTGCTTTTAGCTTTGTTGGAATATAATTCACGTACAATAAAATTCACCCTTTTAAATGACACCATTCAGTGGTTTTATGATATTTGCAGATTTGTGCGACCACTACTATTATCTAATTTCAGGATAGTTATATCACCTGAAGAGAAAATCTGGAGCCATTAAACAGCTACCCCTCATTCCTACTTTCCCCAGCCCCAGACAAACACCAGTCTACTTTCTGTTTTTATGGGTTTACCTGTCCTGGGCATTTCATGTAGACAGAATCAGACAGCATTGAGGCCTCTGAGGTTTGGCTTGCTTTTTCACCTTGTATACTGTTGAGGGCTACCTAAGTTCTATCATGGATCAGTATTTTATCCCTCTTTATTATCAATCTGTCTACTATTTTTACAAATTTTCTGTAAATATAAAATTCATTTAAAAAAAAAAAAGTACACACACATTTCAACCCAGAAGTCACTTTAAGAAAATAACTAGAGCTGGCCAGATAGCTCAGCAGATTAAAGTACCTGCAAGCAGGCACAGGGACAGGAATTCAATCCCCAGGGCATGCTGTGCCGGCCCTGCCCCCGGGGTGCCCTGAGACAGCGATTGAGACTGGGCATGGTGGCCCGCACCTGTAATCCCAGCTCTTGGGAGGCTGTAAACAGGAGGATCACTATGAGTCCAGTCTAGTAGTGAGACCCTCAATACCCTGTAGACCATTCCCTAAAATACAAAAAACAAAAAACAAAACAACTACAGCAGACAGCTTTGCACAACAGTGTTTCCTCGTGGGATTCTTTCTTTGGCTCTAACCTTAGAGCCTGGGACAGGAGAGGATGTTAATATATTTTAGTACAGGGTCTCACTACACAGATCGGACTTATAGTGATCCTCCTGTTTTCAACCTCCCAAGTGCTGGGATTACAGGCTGCGCCACCATGCCTAGGCTCAATCACCACCTCAGCTTGCCCTGGGGGTGGGGGCCGGCACGCTCTCCAGGGATCGAACCTCAGTCATTGCTCCTGCCTAAGTAGGCACTTTCATCTGCTGAGCTATCTGGCCGGCCCAGTAAGGTTTTCTGCTTTTGGTACTGGAGATGAAACTCAGGATCTTGTGCTTGCCAGCAGGCGCGCTTGTGCTGCTGAACTATCTCCCCGCCCTAGAGTATGGCAGTAAGACTGAGACCAGCTCTGCGCCTTTGGCCTGGCGGTCCCTTTAGCCGAATGTCCTTCCTCCTCACCTCCTGGTCAGTCTCCTTTGTGTGTCCTGTCCGATCATTCTTCAGAGTTCGCGTGAGTCCCCTCTGCCATGAAACTAGCTTTCTCTAGTCCCCGCAGTGAGCAGAACATGTATCTCTCTGTGTAATATATGTGATACTTATCTGTCCTATGGCTGATAGTAATAATGATAAAAAAAAATAATAGGTTGCATTGACTTCTTGCCCACGTGCCATGCCTTGTGCCGGGCTCATTCCGAATCCACAACAACACTATAGAGGTACACTATTACTCCCATTTTCCAAGTGGGCAAACCATGGCTCAGCGAGTTCAGCCCGCCCGCCAGCCAGCCAATCAGCCAGCATTTCCTGGGCAACTTGCAGGGATCAAAAAAGGAAAGTGAGATTCCACTGGGCTTCAGGAGGGCATACTACCTGTCAATCACAGAATTTATACTCAAAGCCCCAATCACAAAACTGATCAGTCAGCCAAAGCAGCAGCTTTGTATGTGAGGAGAGAAGATACGTGTAGAAGTGAACCAGAAGTTCACTGGAAGAGTGAAGGCTGGAGGCTTGGGGCAGCCAATACAGCTGTGTGACCGTGGATGCGTTATTCGGCCTCTTCCTTTCCCTGGCCAGGTTATGGGGTGAAGATTAGCTGCGTGAATACGCGTGTCAGAGCCGTAGCCGGCGCACAGTAAGCACCGAGCACGCGCCTGGCATTAACGTGGATCTGAGGAAGATCGCAGAGGACGTGGATTCCAAGCCTGGCTTTGGAAGATGTGTAGGGTTTCAAAGAAATTCCAGAGAGCGGGAGCAGATGAGAAGCCATGGAGGTGAGGACAAATTGGCTGATTTATCTGGAACAGATGGGATGCGTGTGGGGCAAGCGCACTTTCAGCCTAGGATTCAATCACTTCCAACACTGTGCAGTTGGTTTAGGTTGTGATCTCTAGGCAGCTGTGCTGACGTGCTGGTGGCTTTCCATGCCAGTGGCGCATTTCTCACTCACGTGACAGCCCAAAGGAGCAGCTGTGACCTGCTCCACAGCCTCTGGAGTCCAGTCCCCACCTGCAATCTGCTTGGATATGTTTCTCTCTTGCAACTGAGACAAAGGAGACATGGAAAACCATTACCTGCTATAAAGGTGACACGTGCTATGTCTGCCCACAGTTCCCTGGATGCGAAGCACGTCCCTGCCAAAGTCTCCTAATGACAGGGCAGGAAAGCATAACCCCGAGCGAGAGGCAGCAAATATTCTAAATGGAAACACGATCCACCACAGCTGATGTGTAATGGCTTGGGTGTCTGGGGCTTATGTCATCATCTCTAAAAGTAGTTGCTGAGGGACAGGGTGTAGCTCAGAGGGACAGCACCTGTGGGTCAAGCTCAAGGCCCTGGGTTTGAGTTCCAGTACAAAGAAAAAAAAATTGCTGAGCAAGGTTTGGTGGTGCATGTCTACAATCCCAGCATTTGGGAGGCGGAGGCAGGAGGATGACATAAGTGAATTTTAGGTCAGTATGAGCTACATAGTGAGTTCAAGGCCAGCCTGGACTACATAGCAAGATTCTGCCCCTACCGCCACAAAATAAAGTTGCTGAGATGTGTCAAAGAAAGAAGGAATGCGAAAGCATTTTGTAACTCATAAGACAAATGCAAATTTTATTTTTTTAATCTTTAATTATTTATTTGGCACAAGGTCTCTATGTAGCTCAGACTCATAGGACTCTCCTATCT